CTCCGCTCTCTCCCTCTACACTTCTTTCCCTTTCTGGGTTTCCTTTCTGGGTTTCCTTTCCTCTGCGGCTCTCTGCGGCTGATTGTAGGCCTGTTCGAAGGCCCTTCACTCACCTGCTATGAGTGGGCGTGGTTCAAAAACGGGCCGAGAAGCCCTGGATTACTCTTTGGCACGTCGAGATGGGCTACACATGGCTTTGCGCCTCCTTGCGCCAGCACGCACCAACCAGCCCCTTCCGCGTCGTGGCATACGCGCTGGCGGCCAAAGTGCGGTGCGAGAGGTGCGTGGCCCCAAGCAGCATCAGTACAGCGGCGGCAGCGCAGCATACACCAATGGCGTCGTCAGCTGGCGATGCGGCGAGATTTACTGTCCGTGAGAGGCTCCGCCGAAATTTCGTTCCTGTGTTGTTGGGTGTTTTTAGCTGATTGCAGGTCTGTTGTGATGCATTCTTGTGGCTGATGTGGGCCAGCCTCGCCCCCTTACTTCCTTACTTCCCTCCATCCTTAGTTTGTAGGAACAGCAAAACAAGAAACAACAACAACAACAACAAAAGACAAAAAAGGAAGCGAGTAACAGGTGTAGGCGAGGGACCGAAGGCGGTTTCGTGAGCTTCTTGCTTTTTGTTTTGGTTTCGAGTGCCGCACGCAAATTTGCCGGAAGTGATGCGTCTCCGCGATGTCCTCATAGTGTGTGTGGCTATTATTTTCTGCATCTTTGGGTGGTCGCGGGAGGGCGGTCTCACCGTTCGGCGCAACTTCAAGATTCCCATCTCCGACGCGGAGATCGCGCAGTATGTGATGACTAAGCCCGCGGTGTTGGACCTGGCGGGTGACGGCCGGCCGGTGCTCCTCGCAAGCACCACCTACGGCACCCTCGAGATATTCAAGACACACCTGGCGCGGGGGAACTCGGAGGACGTGTTTCTGACCGTCCGCCCCAGCCACTCGAAGAACGTGTACGCCCGCGTCGTCGCCATTGCCGTTGGCAGGCTCAGCAGAACCGGCAAGGACCACGCGATTGTTGTGGTGACGGACGACTTTCGACTGCGCCGGCTGTCTCCGCACGACCTGACGGAGATTTGGGACGTCCCCCTCTCTGCCTCGTGGGTCGAGACGTACCACGCCTCGCTGAGCGTCGTCCCGGAGCGCATTCACAAGCAGGACGAGGGCACCGTCCTCTTGGCGATCCAGGTGGCCGGCCCGAATGCGACGGAGCTGATGATGTACGCCGCCTTCAACGGCGCTGATGGGCAGGTGCGCTGGCGCTACACCTCGGACGCCGAAAATTCCATCCAGGAGGTGCTTGGCGGCGCGTGCGAGGATGGGGCCGAGTGCATCCTGGCCGACAATGCGACTTCCCTCCGGCGCAACTCCATCGTCAAGAGCCAAGAGGCACGGAATCAGTTTCGCGCGCAGGAAAAGCCGTGGACGTTTTACCGCGAGGCGACCATTACACTTCTGCCGCACCACTATTCCCATCCCTGGGATGAGCACATCCACCCACACGTTTTCTTCCACGCCAAGAATCGAAAGAAGCGCTCCTTCCGGGCAGGAAACAGGGTGGTGGTAAAGTACAAGGACCGGCTTATTCGCATGAACAAGGAGGACTACGGGGCTCTTGGGGAGAGGCTGGGTCGGATGAACCTACAGGGTGTAACGGCGTCCCCTGTAAATAAAAGCCGTCGTCGGCCTGCGAATGCGATGATCTTTCACGGTAGGAATAGTATCGAAGTGATTCATCTGTACACGGGGAGTGTGATTACAAGATTGGCGCCACTAAAATCTCCGGGGGTGTATTACCACGACATCAACGACGACTTTCAGGTGGACGCCGTCGGGACGCAGATAGGACCACGCGTGGAGATACATTCCCGCCACGGCGTGGACTTGATTAACGACTGCCTTGGCGTCATCCACACAGGCATCCCGGTGGCGGAGGATCGTTTATTCAACGCGACCATCTGTGACACGGAGGGCTTTTTTGGTCGTCTGGACTTTATTCACCACTTCATCGACGGCGATGTGCGGGGCGAGGAGGCTCCGCAGGCACTCAACATCCTTGAGCTCATTGGAAGTCGCAACGTTGTATCGAAGAATACCAGAAGCGTTACACCACTTGTGGTGCAGCTTCACACAATGCGGGGTCGGGATTTGTTTCAAGTGGAAAGGCATGCTGTATTCGTGATTGACTCGGGCTTGGTCACCTGCGTGGACCCTTCGCGGCGTCGGGTGATATGGCGCTCGCAGACGGATGCCGCTTTCTACGGTCTTCGCGAAGCAGCCGAGGCAGATGCAGGCATGGCAAGATTGTCCGCAAAGGAACGCATGCATCGTGCCGTGACATTTCCGCATTTGGCGGCCTACAGTTTTTACCAGAGCCAGGACGACTCTGTTATGAGTGTCAGCGGGTCCGAGCGGTATCTGCACACGGATCCATTTGTTATAGCAGTAGGGGAGCGCTACATGAGTATTCTAGGCACACGGAGCGGGCGTGTCCTGCGAACGATAGAGCTGGAATCTCCTCCCGTGGCCCCTGTCATTGTGCGGGACTTTAACGGGGATGGGATAAACGACATTATAATTGTGGCAAAGGAAGGGATCTACGGCTTTGCCGTGGGCACGCAGACTTCGTCAGACACAATCACGGCCCTGATGCTTCTCATGGTGGCGCTGCTGGCTGTGCTCTTTGTTGTGCGTGAGATGAGCGTGGCGGACGAGAAAAACGCGGAATTTCTTCCCACCAGCGTCCACGATGTCTACCAACCCGCACAGAAAATGTCGAGGCGTGCCACCGACTGATCGCCACGCTGTAGCAAAGAATAGTAAAGAACAAGAAAAGGAGAAAAATAGAGAGGAATAAAAAGTGGCGCCCCTCCTCCTGTAGAGGAAGGCGAGGCGCGCGGTGGGGGAGAAGCCCCCGCACTCTTTTCCCCCGCCTTCCTTTCCCCTTGACTGCTCTGCTTTCCCGCCTTCGCCGCTGCGTCCTCTGCAATGGGCCCGCGTTGCCGCGGCACACGCCTGCCGCAGTCCTACCTCAGCAACGCGCGACTGTGGTGCGCCCTTTCTTTTTTTACTTATGCCTGCACGTTTCTTCCGACCTTGCTTTCTCTCCTTTTCTGCCTCTTTTCTTTGCCGCGATTGCGTCGCCGCGCCTCGACTCACTCCGGCGGTGAAGATTGCTAGCAGCAGCAGCACTAGTGGCCTGACCGCGCATTGCCCTCTCCGCAAGCCGTGGCCGCAGCGGGAGACATTGACTTCTACTTCTGCGACCAGAACCGGCGTGGGTAATCGTGTCCGCCCGCATTTTTTTTTCTTCTTTCTGTGCGTGTGTGTGTGTGTGGGTTTGTTTGGACGCAGAGGGGCGCTCCTTCCGCACCGGCTGGGGGTAATCGGACCGCAGTCAGGCAGCAAGAGACATAAATATACCTTTAGCGTGATACGCCGCATCTGCCAAGAGGAAGACACAAGGCGCAAGAAAGGAAATAAAGGGGGAAAAAAGCATAATAAGAGGAAGAAGCTGGAAGCAGGGAAATTAATATCAAGGAATAACACTAAAGCGAAGCAAACCAAAGCCAAAGCAGAATAAGCCAACAAAAACAAACAAAAACGCCCAGTAGCCCAAGTGGGCCAAGTGGGCCAAGTGGCCTCTGGGGTGTCGCTACTCGGTTTTTATTGGCAGTATTATCGTACTTTGCGCAGAGCTTGCCGTGGCTGCTGGAGGGTGCTGCATTCCCCTCACTCTTTGCGTTTACAGGGGGTGGGACTCGCCTCGGCGACGTGCCGTGCTCGTTGACAAATATGGGCTATCAGGATCCCAATACAGATGTAAAGCCCATTGGCGGGGATGCGACGATGCAGGCAGATGATGATGTTTTATCCGCAGAAGATTGCGCTCGGCCGGGCGCGGGTAATCCGAATGCGCAGAGTGGCAGCGTATATCTTGTTTCTTCTACACAAATGTCTGTGATAAACGGGACGTGTGAAAGCCCGTTTTCTGCCGAGGTCGTTGTGCCTCCTCGGGATCCGGTCCCGCCTGCGGAAGTCTACGTGCAGGAACTCCTGATAACAATGGAGCGCCTGCTGCATCTTGACGACATTTTTGTATCCATATCCAAGACGCGCGACGTGGTGCAGCCCTTTACGCACGGCGTAGCTGTTTTTGAGGTTCCGTGGTTTGCCACAATGCATGGTTGCGCCTTACGCGCTATGACGGTCGCGAGGGGGCGACTTCCACAGTTACGCGAGGAACACGCCTCTCTGTCTGGCGGAGATGCCGAAATCGACGTTCGACACGCGCGGGAGTTGTTCGTGCAGCGCCTAGGTGGCATAACGAACAGTGCCCTGCAAAGTTATTGCTCTAGGTTGTTTCCCTACCGGAGGTCTTCTTCTTTCGAACTGAGTAAAACCTTTGACCAGTTGAGGGAACGATTGACGCAAACTTTTCTGGCGACGCTGAGCGAGTGTCCGCAGCGGGCCTCCGTGTCGTGGGTGGAGGAGCTGGAAGGCCTTCTTCTGCACGACTTTGGGTGGTGGATTTCACTCTTTTTCCCATGCTTTAGGTACGCAATTTCCTCCGGGTCGCAGATGCAGTTGCTTTGGCAGTGGACCGCCACCGCCCCCAGGGACGAGGTGGCGTTTCAGGTGTACACCACCGCCACCCGGAAAAACCTGCGGTGCGAGGACAGCCACGCGGGGCGAGTTGCACTCTTCCCTTTGAAGTGGATGGATGAGCTCTTCGACTGGCTCTGTAGCAGCGAGGCGGAGGCCAAAGAGCCGCCCGGTCCCTTTGACACCTTCCAACTGGCGGAGTTGTCGCCGGCTCACCCGGGGCAGCATGTAGTGCGAGCGGATAATCCAAAGTTGGGGGTCGTCCCTGAGGAGCTCTTTGAGCTGTTCTGGAGACTCTTCGGAGGCGGCCCAAAATACCTGGTGAAGGGGAAGCTTATAAAGTGGAAGAAAATTAAGGAGCGCTTCTCGCGCTTGAAACCCCGGCGTGTGGCGCTCGCATTTAAGTTTGAAGGGTTGAGCTCTCAGGAGGTGCTCTTGGAGGACGTTCTGCACCGCGCCGAAGTCTCGGAGGTGATGCGGCGAGCCATGCAGAAGCTGCAGGACCACCAGCACTCCGAGACGGAGGGGGTAGACGCAAAGAAGTGGTACGCCGCGTTGTGTTCTGATACCGGTGTAGATATCTTCGTTACACATGTTCGGGGTGAGCTGCTGCAGACGCAGCGGTTCTTCCCTAACCCGTGTGCCGTGACTGTTGGAGATGTGTTGGGGCAACTTTCACCCGCTTCCTCCACGGGAAAGAACTCAGGGGCGCCAGAGCTGCAGTTGCTACTCCGCTTGCAGCATGATATAGACGAAGCAACTTTGAGGGAGTGTGGTGTCTGCGGTCTGCGAAACATTGGCAACACTTGTTACATGAACAGCGCGTTGCAGTGTCTCTCCAATATGGGGGCTGTGCGGCGTGCAATTTTGTCGCTCCCTCTCTCGGAGTCCGTGAATCCTCTCGTCACGCGAGAGATGGTGTGCCTTCTACGTCAGATGTGGTCTGGCATGCAAGGTTTGGCTGACACGCGCAACCTGAAGACGGCGATTGGACGCGCAGTAAGCCGCTTTGATTCGTACGAGCAGCAGGATGCCATGGAGTTTATTGAGACCCTCCTTGACTGCATGCGTGAAGAGATGAATACGGGCACAGACGAGTGTTGCCGGGAGGTGCGGGACTCCGACGTGCCGAGTTCTGCGCCGCAGCAGTCGGAAATCTCCCGGAAGGATTTTAACAACAACTGCGGCTTCGTTCCACGCCTCTTCTTTTTTCAGACTAGCACGCGTTTGGAGTGTCTGACGTGCGGAGCTGAGACTGTGATATTTGAGGACAACCTCTCTCTCGCTGCAACCGTGGCGTCGGTGACTAAGCGCAGGACGGAGGTGATCGTTCTGCTGCCGACGGGGAAGCGAGTGCGGCTGCTGCTGCAGAGCCTGTGCGGCAGGGACGGTGCCGTTTACCCCGCCGACGTCGCACGCGAGCTGACGGGGCTGCTTCGCGCCGACGATTTCGTTGCTGCGGCGACCCGCGTTGAGACTGCCGCGCCGCCCGCTGTCGCTGCGACCGCCGAGGGCAACGTGGACGGAAACGCCGCCCGCGACGCCGGCACCGCGGACGACGGCGCCGGAGAGGGCAGGTCCGGGCTGGACGGCCACAAGGTCATTATTTACGGCGACACGGGCAAGCCACTGCGGGCGAACAATGAGGTGCTTTGCGCCGCTGTCGTCCCTGCAGCGGCGGCCCCCGGCCAAAGGAGCGGGGAGGCAGCAGAGGAAGAGGCACCAGAGAACGACGGGAGTGATGTAAAGGAGGAGGAGGAGGGTGAAGTTTACATCTGGTACTTTATTCGGGCACGAGGAGCTCCGCGTTCTGCGCTGGGGGAGCTATGCGACGTGGAGCGGGTCCCTGCGAAGGTGTGTTCCACATTTTCCGACTTTGTGAAGCACATTATGGCGCGGCGAGAGTATCTGGAAGGGCGTTACTTGAAGGAGAAAGCCACCGCCGGGGTTGAGGTGGCGGGGGCGGCGCTGGACCCGCCCAGAGTGCAGACCCGTGGACGGTGGTGACGGTGGTGACGGCGGCGGCGGCGGCGCCACTAGGCTCCTGTACCAGCTACGGAGGGCGGCGAGAGCCGTTGCTTCACCGGCGCCGCTGCGGAGACTGAATTGAGGGACGCTGGCGTACTGAACCCCCGCTGGTTGTTTCCTTGGTGA